AAAAAAAAAAAAAAAAAACAGTGCAAGTGGCCCAAAATAATTTCTAAAAAGCAGAAACTAACTTATCTTGCAAATCTTTTGACAGCATCAACATTTTTTCATGCTTCCTCAAAAGGCATGTTAAAAGGCTTTGTTTATAGAAAGATTTCTATGCATGGCATAGCACTAATGTCCTACAAGTTTCCATTTCTGACACTAACCAAACTAAATCATGGCACAGATGAAAGGTATATCTCCTTCCTTTGGTCAAGGAACAAGCTCTTTGGAATTTTATCCAGATGAACCTTCCCAATATCCCATGAGCTAACCCTCCAAAAGTGCTTAGTGTCAACACCTGTTGTAAAAGTCAGTCAGTCATCTGACGTGAATGCTCACACCCTGCTAAGGTCTCCTTAGTCATAAAGCATCTCTGAAGTTGGTTAGCTGTTGGTCCCTGACTGAAGCACCTCTGAAGTTGGTCCCTGACTGTTACCATAGATAAATAATTTGAAGTTAACCATGTCTAGGATAAAGAAACATTGGTGACTGTTGGCATCACAGTCACCCCTAAATTATCCCAGGGCCAGGGTTAGGTTCTGGCCTGTTCTCCGCTCCACTGAACAGCAGAACTACATGGGGATAAGCAGGGGAACATGTTGTACCAATTGAATTTAAAAGATGATACATTAAAGGGTGACAGGTCTGCTCCTGCAGTAGGTGCCACCCAGAAACCGCAGGAGCAGTGCATTTCTGTGTGCACATCTTGGCTAAAAAGAGGCACATGTTTCAGTTAGTGTCCTGCACTTCATTTACTCCTTCAGACTGGTAATATTGGAACTGCTTAGCCTTGTAGGCTGTATCCACACATGCAGTTATGTGTGGTTTGTGGTGTCACATTGCACATTAAGCCATGCCTGGCTCTGCTAATTGGCAGTACTGGGGCAAAATTTACTACTGTTATTTCCCTGGTAGCAAAAAAACAAAATCGCTGGAAAAAAAAACAGCGCAAAGCATGTGAAAATAGCATGCATTGGGACAAACACAGAGGTGGGGGAGCAGGCAGCCCAAGGCCCTGTCTCCGCATGCTATGGAGCCCCCACACTGAGACACACTTGGCATGTCTACACGTTCATTAATGCACATTTAGTTTAGTGCTTGCTTAATGAAATACTAACTAAATGAACAGTCACTACAGTTACTGCTCAGTAACGCTGGCGCATGGGTTTTTTCATAGATTTCATAGACATGGGGACCTCGGAAGATCATTGAGTCCAGCCCCCTGCCCGAAGGGCAGGAAGTCAACTGGGGTCATAGGATCCCAGCAAGATAAGCATCCAATTTGCTCTTGAAGGTGTTCAATGTAGGTGCTTGAACCACCTCCGATGGCAGGCTGTTCCAGACCTTGGGGGCTCGGACAGTAAAGAAATTCTTCCTTATGTCCAGCCTGAAATGGTCTTGCAGTAGTTTATGACCGTTTGACCTCGTCATCCCTTGGGGCGCTCTGGTG